ATTGCATTCAGCCCTCCTAACAATCATACGTAGCATGTACTATTATGATCATCCTCATGTGTTAGGAAACCGAGGAGCTGAGAAGGCATGTCTGAGGTTATATGTTGAGTGACGTGGCCAGGACCTGAGCCCAGGCAGACCAGCCATCCGAACCACCACCTTCTGTTAGCCCTGCTCCTTAGGTGACAGCAACTGTACACGAGTGAATTATTAGAGGGATTGGGAGAGGGAATGCACATGAAATTAAACACGATGTACTGAAACAAGAACAGGACTTGGTTCCAGACTATACATCGGGGAACAAGAATAAGGAAAAGGCTGAGATTTCTAGAATGGGAGACTGGAGGAATGTTGTTACCAGTGACAGAAGGATTTGCAGCTTGGGAAAGGCAGAGAACGTGTATTTCAGAATGATGAGAGGCCTATGTATTCAAAAAATTTAAAACAGAATTACCACATGATCCCGTAATTCCACTTCTGGGAATAACTAAATAATTAAAAGCAGGGTCTCAAAGAGACGTTTGTACACCCATGTTCACAGTGACATCATTCACAACAGCTAAAATGTGGAAAACAGCCCAAGTGTCCATCAATGGATGAAAGGATAAGCAAAATGTGATGTATATATACAATGGAATGTTATTCAGCCTTAAAAGGAAGGAAATTCTGACACCTGCTACAACATGGATAAACCTTGAGGACATTATGCTCAGTGAAATAAGTCAGTCACATAAGGACAGATACTGTAGGATCCCACTTGTATGAGGTACAGACAGAAAGTAGAAAGCTGGTAACCAGAGGCTGGTGGACGGGCTTCAGGGAGTTTAATGGGTACAGAATTTTAGTGCTGCAAGATGAAAAGAGCTATTGAGATGGATGATGGTAATATATTCACAATATTATGAATATATTTAACACACTGGAGTGCACACTTAAGATAGGGTGGTATATTTTATGTTATATGCATGTTAGCACAGTGTTTAAAAATGAATAAAAAGAGGCCTATGCATTATTTATTTCTTACTTTGATCTTATGAAGAATCTTGCAAATAGCTAAGGCAGGTGTAATACCTACTTTAGTCAAAACTCTTTTGATTGCAAGAGACAGAATGCAACTAAAGCAGAAGATTAGGAGACAGAGAATTTGAGAGTGTAGCTACCTCAGGGACGAGTGGGTCCAGACCTCAGATGACATCACTGGGACCTTCCTAGTCATGTCTCTGCTTCATTTTAAGTCTAGAACCCTCCACCCCGGCTGAAGATCAGGTTCTCCAGGTAGGGAGGATGCACAGAGCAGCTCCACCCTCCAAGGGAGGCCACCACTTGGCACCCGTTTATAGGGTCTTGGTAAATACAACTTCTTGACTCACATGACCAAAACCTGGGCCGTCACTGGCCGACAGGACAGAATATGGCCGCGGTCAGGCAGGCCAGAGCAGTGCATTTGCAGTGGGGGGGGGGGGCAGGATTCCGGCCCCCCAGCACAGGATGAATGGACTGGCCAGACACCGCAAGACCACATAACCCCATTTTAGTTGTACAGATTGGAAACTGGAGCTCAAAAAAGTTTAATTTGTCAAAACCTATGCAATAGTAAAATGGCTAATAATGCAAATGAGGTATGCCTTTTGTGATCCTAATTCTTTCAGACCCCCAGTCTTTCCAGCTTTAGTTTGTGACAAATGCCGGTAAGGATTTTGAGATATCTAAAGAAATTAGCTGATTTATACAGTGATGAAAACAGCATAATTAACAGCAGTGTAACAAAGAGCACTTCATTTCTAGGGAGACAGAGGGGTTCAAACCCAGCCCTGCCACCTGGTGGGACCCTGGTACCAAAGTAGCTTAGAGTGAGCGTGGAGCTAAACACTAAGCAAGCAAACAGTAAGAGAAACACGGGAAGCGCCAGGCACAGAGCTCACCGGCCCCCAGCACTGCACTGACCACGCCCGGGGACTTCTCATTCCTTCCATCGGGAAGCCTCTCAACAAGGCGAACTCGTGAGACTTAACACCCACACTCAGGCATGAGTCAAAGACGGGACCTCACTGACGCTAGTGGGCCATCGAGGCAGGACAGGAGCCGAGGACTGCTGTCTCTCACAGTGACAGCCCGGACGTGGGGTGTGGGATCGAGGCCTGGCTGTGTTCGCTCTCGCAGCACTGCCCCTGTGTTTCGTGGGGACGTGGATTTGGTGTCTGATGGAGTTTCCAACATGAACTGTCTACGGCCCTGCCCAGACCCTCCTCTTCAGAAGGCGCAGGGCAGGTGTGGGTAAACCGTCTTAGACTCTGTGTCTCATCTCTATTTTTCTTGAAAGTTATGCTCTTGGTACAGCTATGAGTATCCTACTCTTTTAAACCTCAGAGGATTAGGGGTTAATCCCCTTCCCCCAGCTTTTTGTGAGTCTGAGCTTGATGTGTTTTTTAATGAATGATTTTAACGACTCTAGTGCTTTGAGAACTTCAAATTACAAATGTCACCTGTGTTTCTATCATTTCACCAGTGACTGCTTCATAGCTACATTCTCTTTGCTGGGCACCTTTAACGATTTAGGTATTGTTAAATACCTAAATAAAATGATTTAGGCATTTAGGTATTAAATAAATTTGGTGTTCCTGGTTTATTTCATCTTAGCATTCTGCAAATAAGAGTCTCAATGACAAGGTGTCAAGACTACCCAGATGAATTGTGTAACAACTGTGAAACAAGCTGTAAAGAGCCCGCAAAGAAAATACAGAATACATGGTATCACTAAATCTGCAGAGTTGGCCCCAGAACAAATCCACTACTAAGGTGAGTTGATGTGGCGATGGGGTGTGTGGTGTTGGGAAGGATCTGTGCTGTGTGGAAGAAAAGCTTACTTTAACTTAGTTAAATTTCATTCTTTTGAGCTGATCATGACATGTTACATTGCCTGCTTCTAAGTTGCAGACAGACATCAGGAGACAAATGAAATTTTCTAAGATTATCAGAGTGAGGATGGCTTTTCCCTTCACCATGTGGCAAATAAGGGCCCAGGGGAGAATTCCGATGGTGGAAGCCACTTTACATCATAAACAGAACACAGAGAAACTATTACAGGTAACTCACAATGCTCTTTTCCAATTATGCCCAAACCTCAAAAGATTTATTTCATTCACTAGCTATTTCCATAAAGACAGGACCAGAGTGATATACAAGTTTATTAACACAATCTGCATTGTGAACAGTACCTCCTGGAGTTATATGAAATGGAAAACCTGCAGGAAGAGCTTCTTCAAAATGCAGATTGACATGCAAATCCAACCGTTAGAGAAAATGCCGCTGTGTAGCCTGACGGCAATTATTTCCCTTCAAGTGAGGTTTGCATGTCAGCAGGAGAGAAAGACGGGGGCGGGGGGGGGGGGGGGGTCTGATAAATGACAGGGGAGTGTGGTCCACACCGGGCCTCTCTAACAGTCTACTTCCACCTAATTTATTAGGCTTCATGAGGTTATACCTGAAGCACCTCTGTTTTAATCTTAGAAAAGCTGATATTCAATTTGGCATGGTGTTTGTGATGGGAACTGGTGTGGAGACTTTGAAGAGCTTCTCTGGGGTGATTCTGACTCCTGAGATGGGAAATCTTGTCTACGGGTGACAGATTACGTGAATTATAATAAAAACAGCAGAATATTGAATAAGAGTATTTTAATTGTGCAGCACAAGTTTTTAAACTGAGAGTACACGGAAGTACAGTACATCATTCCTTTCTTTCTTCACTCAGTAATGGGATACCTTTTTCTTGTCTGTACACATTTAACATAAATAACAACGCTTTCTTGTAAGGCGTTCAGCTAACCCAGAGGCAGCATAAAGACCTCATAAACATTTCGGTTTCTATCCGTGAAGAAAGTCTAGTAATAACCGCAAGACCACTGGCATATGGAGCAGATGGTAATGATCTCCAGAGCCATTTACGTTTGCAGCAAAACAAAACAAAAACCACAAAGAACTCTGTTATAATTTCTACTGAATTATTAAAACACAAAGAGAAAACACTGATGTTGAGTGTGAAAAATCTTTTTTTTTTTTTTTTTTTTGCGGTACGCGGGCCTCTCACTGTTGTGGCCTCTCCCATTGTGGAGCAATGGCTCCGGACGCGCAGGCTCAGCGGCCATGGCTCACGGGCGCAGCCGCTCCGCGGCATGTGGGATCTTCCCGGACCGGGGCACGAACCCGTGTCCCCTGCATCGGCAGGTGGACTCTAAACCACTGTGCCACCAGGGAAGCCCAGAGTGTGAGAAATCTTGACAGATGTCAGTCTATGCCCCGTGGACCAGTAACTGATACTCAAAATTTAGTCAAACGTTCATCATTTAACACATCACAGAACACAAATGTTACACTCAAATTATTAACTCAGGAACATTTAATAAAGGGACTATTTACAGATTTGTGTTCACAATTAAGAAAACCAACCAGGAGGGATGGTGAATCCCCCAGAAGCAGTTAACACCCTTACATCTGACGAGCAGGGAGCTGCAGCCATCTGGGTGTCTGTAGACCAGCAGGAGGGAGGGAGGGCTGACACATACCTCCCTGTGTGAACCTGAGCAGAAACCCTAGGAAGCAGTTGTGCACTTCCTCTGGGCATGCAGAGCAGAAAAAGGAGAATGGGTGTGGCGACGTGCACAGATCCGTAACACAGACAGCTTCCATCGTGCAGTTGCTACAAACACAGGTCATCCCGAGCCCGTCTCAGACGACACAGTCTGTTCAACTATTTTTACAGATTCACACTTAAGTGCTATCGTAGTCATACACTTTACTTCTAAATAGATCATAACCCCAAGTATGTTGTCATTACTTTGGTTTTAAGCAGTCCATTAACTTTTTGAAAGATTTTTAAATGAGAAAAAAAATCTTTCATATTCATCCACACATTCACCATTTCCAGAGTGTTCTTTTCTTGCTGACCCCAAACTTTCTTCAGTGTTTCCTTATGGCAGGAACTCTCTCTGATTTTGTTTCTTTGAAGTCTTTTTTGCTTTCACTTTTGGAAGATGTTTTCGACAGGCAACTGAACTCCAGGTTGCAGGGGTTTCTTTTATATCTTTCATAATTTAATGATGTCACTCTGCTGTCTTTTAGTTTGCATAGTTTCTGACCAGAAGTATGTTGTTATTCTTTGTTCTGTGAACGCGTTGTGTCTTTTTCTCCAGACATTTTACAATCGTTCTCTTTAACACCGGTTTTCATCAATTTGACGATGATGTCCATTGGCATCTTTATGTTTCTTAGGTGTTGGGTCCTTTGAGCTTATTGAATATGTCGAGTTATACTTTTCATCATATGTGGATATTTTTCAGCCATCGTTTATCCAAATCCTTTTTCTCCCTCCTCTCTTTCTGGACCTCCCATTCCATGTGTGTTACACCACAGTAACTAATTCCCTGTTCTCCTTTCCCCCCAGTCATTTTCTCTCTGTGTGTATCATTCACCTGGATAATTTTTATACTTACTGTTCAAATTCATTGTTTTCCTTCTTCTATGTCTAATATGTTCTTAATTCCATCCAGTTTTTTTTTTTAATTTACAGATGTTGTTTTCATCCTGAGAAGTTCCATTTGAGCTTTTAAAAATATATCTTCCACTCATGTGTCATCAAATTCATGTTTTCCTCTACTTTATACTTACAATAGCTATTTGAACATCCTTGTCTACTAATTCCAATCACTTCAGTCTTTTCTCTTTCTACTGCCTGATTTTCCTCCTGGTTACAAGTCATATGTTCCTGCCCCTTGGCATGCCAGGTAAGTGTTTGGACGTCAGTCACTGTGGGTAGAGTAGCTTTTAATCTAGGGTTAGTTACCCTCCCCACCAAGACAATATTGTTCTGGGAACTCTCTTGATGCCCACGTGCTTTTGTATGGCTGGTGGGAACGTGAACTGTCCCCGCCTGCGCTGAGCTCCAGGGCTCGCCCAGCTCACTGCTCCCCAGTGCCACTCTCATGGTCTCAGCTTCCTTCCACACACGTGTGAATCAGCACTAAAGCCCACAGACTCAAGGGGGGACTCATTGAGGATTTCTGCAGGCCCTCTCTGGGAAGCTCCTTCCTATCCAGCACTTTTCCCTGCAAATTCTAGCCACCAGGGCTCCCCAGACGCCAACTCGGCAACTCTCTTCAGTCCAGCAGGACCACGTTCATTCCCCTCCCTGACCTGCAGCCTGGATGCTGCCCCCAGGGTCTAGGCTGGGCAGTCGTGGGGCTCTCCTCACCTTGTCCACCTCCTGCCAGGGATCACAAACCTGTGTTTGACATATGTCTAAAAAACCACTATTTCATAAATGGTACGGTTTCTAGCTGCTTAAGGCAGTAGAGTTTATCTGGTTCTTCCTATAGCACCATAGCAGAAAGCAGAAGTTTTCACACGTAAAACACAGCTACCACTTTAAAATGCCTATTTTCTTAAAATAATTTATATACAATGCACACATCTTCCTTTTAGAATTATTTTAATAGGATCATGCTTATCAAATTCTTCAAATTATTAGAACTACTCCTCTGCATGAGATCTCTAATATATAATACTCAGTATTTCCTTTGTGTATGTATTCTCTAGTGTACTCTGAGTTACCCTTTCCCGGTGAAATCTTTCACTTACTTGTTATAACAATTGAGTTTTTCTCCTGTTTAGGTCTTCTAAGTATTTAACAGGCTGTCACTTTTGACTGAAAGGTCTGTACTTATCACAATACTGATAAGATTTCCACACTGAGGAGCCATCAATATGTAATAAGTTTTGTTTTCTGGGAGAAGGCTTTCCTATATTGCCTACTTAAAAAAAGTTCTCTTTCTGAATTCTGTATGGTGAGACAGTCACTGCAGTGACAGGGTTTCTCTCCTGTACGTGTCCTTGGAGTGTGAGGGGCCTGACACCTGATGGCAGACTCCCCATACTCACCGCACCCGCCCCGTGTCTACAGCATATGACTTCTCTGATGTATCAGGAGCTGTGCCTTCCTGTGGAAGGCTGTCCCACATTCACTGCATCTATAGCATTTATCTCCTGTATGGATCCTCTGATGCCTCATAAGGTGCGACTTTCTAGTGAAAGATTTCCCACATTCCCCACATTTATAGGGTCTCTCTCCTGTATGAATCCTCTGATGTATAATGAGCTGCGCCTTCTCAAAGAAAGCTTTTGTACAATCACTGCATCCATAGGTCTTCTCTCCTGTATGATTTCTCTGATGCTTAATGAGCTGTACTTTCTGAACAAATGCCTTCCCACACTCACTGCATTCATAGGGTTTCTCCCCTGTATGAATTCTCTGATGCCTAAGAAGCTGTGGCTTCCAGGCAAAAGCTTTCCTACACTCACTGCATTCGAAGGGTTTCTCTCCAGTGTGGGTTCTCTGATGGTGAATGAGGCTTGACTTCTCACTGAAGGCTTTCCCACACTCGCTGCACTCATAGGGTTTCTCCCCTGTGTGTGTCCTCTGATGAGATACCAGGCTGGACTTTTGGGTGAAGGCTTTCCCACAGGCACCACATTCATAAGGTTTCTCTCCGGTGTGAGTTCTCTGATGTGTCAGGAGCTGTGACTTCCCAAAGAAGGTTTTTCCACATTCAACACATCCATAGGGTTTTTCTCCTAAATGAGCTTTCTGATGTCTAATTAGTTCTGACTTCTTAAAGAAGGCTTCTTCACAGTTCCTGCACTGATAGTTCTTCTCTCCTGTGTGAGTCATTTGATGTTTGACAAGTTGCGGTTTTCTGATGAAGGCTTCACCACATTCACTGCATTCATAGGGCTTCTCTCCTGTGTGGATCCTCTGATGCCTAATGAGGAGTGAGTTCCTGCTGAAGGCTTTTTTACACTCACTACATGCATACGGTTTCTTCCCTGTATGAACCCTCTGATGAGTAATAAGCTGTGACTTCCAAAAGAAGGCTTTTCCGCAATCACTACATTTGTAGGGCTTCTCCCCTGTGTGTGTCCTCTGATGTGTAATAAGCCTTATTTTCTGGGAGAAGGCCTTCCCACAGTCATTGCAGCCATAGGGCTTCTCTACTGTGTGGGTTCTCTGATGCCTTTGAAGCTGTGACTTCCTACTAAAGGACTTCCCACAGTCCCTGCAGCCATAGGGCTTCTCTCCCGTATGAGTTCTCTGATGTAAAACAAGCAGTGACTTCCTGCTGAAAGCTTTTTGACATTCACCACACCCATATGGCTTTTCTCCTGAATGAGTCCTTTGATGAATAGTGAGTAATGACTTCTGGGAGAAGGCTTTCCCACAGTCATGGCATCCATAGGGCTTCTCTCCTGTATGAGTTCTCTGATGTATAATGAGCTGTGACTTTTTGTTAAAAACCTTACCACATTCCATGCATAAACAGACTCCTGTATGTGCTATTTGGTTTGTAATGAGCCCTGGCTCTTTACTGCTGACTTTTCTACATTTACTGCAATCAGAGTATTTTATTCCACCACAGGTTTTGTCAGGCTTGATACAGAATAGTAATTTCTTATTAAGCTCATCAAGTTTTTTTCTTTCACAGTTACTTTTTGGAATAAGAAAATCAAAAGGATGTTTCAAACTTTTTTCACCTGTGCCACATTTATGGGATCTCATTCCTAAATGATCAAAGTTAATGCCTGAATGAAACATTTTCCCAAAGACTTCATATTCATGGCCTCTCTCCATACTTTTAAGCTTGTCTTGATTATCCTGGTGCCACATTTTGAGATTATTATCTAGCCAGACTTCTTCTAAAAAGGAAAAAATGAACCATACTGTGTAAATTTCCCCAATGATTATGCTTATTGAATAAGTCTTCTGAAATGGAGCCTAAGATCCCAGTCCATAAAAAAAAAAAAAATTCTCCCAAATACAATGTCTACTTATTAGGCATTGAGAATTTTAATAGAAATGAAAACAGATTTTGAAATTACAAATGTTTATAAACACAAGTTTCAAATAAGGAAAAATGAAATATACTCAAGTGATCACGATGAGGTAAAAGAGACAAGCAATTTCTGGGGGTGGTTAAGCACTCATTCCACAATGACCTACTGATCATCTACTGTGTGCCCAGATGCTGTGAGTAGCAGAAATCAGGGAGGAAGGCAGGTAAGTACCCCCATCAGAGAAGGCTGAGAATCACAGTACACAGAAGAGCAAGATTAGTACACAGTGCTGAACGTCAGGCAGGAAGAAACACTGAATATGATGCACAGCAAATGCAGGATATCAACTTCATGTCTGAAAGGTGAGGTACGTCAGTTTGCCATACTATTGGTACATTAAAAAAACATTCTCATTCAAGATCCTCACCCGAATCACTGATATCAGTAATTTTACCATCATGAGTTACTTTTTGGAATTATCCAAGAGTTCTCCAGAGCTCAACATCAACACTTGTATTTAGGTTTTTGACATTTTAGTTGAATCGATCATCTATATATTGCATCTGTATATGATGGAAATTATTCTAAACCACAAGTATTCTTTGCATAACATTAGGACAGATTTTTGTTTTTTTTACTCTGTAAGTACAATTATTTGTGATCTCCACAATATGACCATTTATTTATGTTTAGTTCACGATATTCTTTACTAGGAATTGTGAGGTAATACTCCCAAGATGAAAGATATGGCAAGATCTCAGATGTAAGGCTATCACTCCTTTTCTGCAGGATAATATTTTTTTGGGGAAAAAAATCCACATCTAACTCTCAGACATACCAGAATTTCAGAGGAAGAACCAACTAGAGCCCGATATGGAGGAGAACAAAGGATTCAACGATCCGAGCTTCAGTGAGTGTGGATGATAATGCTATTCGTGGGTATTTTAAAGACTAGAGAGAGAAGTTAGGGGGTTAAAAACAAAGTCGTCTGTAGACACAGAAGTGTGAGATCCACCTGAATGGTTTACAGAAAATTGTTTCAGGAAATGTTAAAGAAAAATTACAAATTTTAATTCAAATCAAATCAGGAAATAAGATTAAGATATATATCCAAATTAATAAGTTAAATGATATAAAACAATATTGAAGTTAAACTGTACCAAAAAATCTTTAAGAAATTTTTAAAAAGTCTTGTCACTTTGGCAAACACGTGGACCGGGTTTCACTGGTGCCACCTCAGGTGCGGGTACACATGTGTTTCCCCGTCTCTGTTTCCATTACACTCCTGTCCTTTCTGCCTTAATTTCACCCGATTTTCAATTGATATTCCCACTCCTAGGCTTGCTTCCTCCCAACTCTAGTCTCCACACAGCAACACGTAATATTTAGAAAATGTACTCAGGCCTTTTAACCCTTTGCTTAGAAACCTTTGATAAACCCAGACGTTTATCACGGCTTCCGCACCCCTGTGTGCCGGCTCCTTCCAGCCCCCACTCCCTCTCACAACACTGGGCTCCTCCCAATCCCAAACCCCAAAGGCCTTTTCCTGCTGTAGGCCCTTTGCATGTGCTCTCCCTGCCCAGCTTCCAGCATTCCTGGCTCACATTATTTTAAGGGCACACTAACAAACACCCTGTTTATTCCCTTCATAGCATGTATCAAATAGGTAATCACCTTGCTTCTGTCTCTCGCACTAGAATGTAAACCCTGAGGGCAGGGAACAGGTTTGTATTTTTCACTGAGGTACCCCCACTACATAGCGCATAATCAGCCCTCAATACATATAGGATAAATACTCTTCACTTGTCATTAAACTTCTAAAGCAATTCCTTTCTATATAGTTAATCTTGAGAGTTAACTTCGCATTTTGACACAAATGCTTCATGTTCAAACACTGAATTAGTTTTATATTTTCTTCTAAATTAAAATTCTCTTGTCCTGCAAGGTCATTTCATGACTCATATTTTATCTCAACGCCTCTCATTCCACAAAATAGCAGTGGTTCTAAATTAATGGGGGAACATAAAGTCTATCTTGACAGCTTTTCTAAACTACACATAGCCAGTCCTAATAATCCGCATGAATGGTGCCTAGACATCTGTAATTTGAAGTAGTTCCTAAGGTACGCTGAAACACTTACTTAGACGAAAACCTTTGTACTAAAGAAATATTTGATAAATAAGAAAGCTCCTGCCATACCTGGCCTCACAACAACCAATTAATGAAGTATTTAGTAATTACACAGCATAAATTCCATACAGAACAGAGAAGAGGAAGTTACTCACCATCTTTCTATGTAGGAAAAAACCTTAAGACCTAATTGGTTAAGGAATTACAGATAATGTGTGATCACACCCGAGTTCCTACAATACTGCTCAGTGGGTAGAGATTTCAGAAAATGCTGGGAGTCAGGGAACACTCCCTGGAGGTGGAAAAAGAGCTTAAAGTGAAGAAGGGGAGGGTGTCTAAATGGGAAAGTGTAGGACAACCAAAGGCCCACATGCAGAGAAACAAACGTGAAAGACATGAGGAAAGAACTACTTTGAGTGGCGTCAACCAGGACCTCTGGGCACAGGAAAAACTGCAGAGATAAGATGCTGCCACACCGTGAGGGTCTTCAACACAAATGGCGTTAAAGTATCACAGAGCAGGTCTTAAACCCAGCAGACTATTTGAAGGGATAAATGAGAAGCTTTATAAGCTGAATACCAAAGGCACCAGAAAGAAGCCCTGGACACTGACCCTGAAGTTCTTATCTGCAGGGAGGCCAGAAGAGTGCTTAAGGCGTTAGACTTTTCTCCTGTATCCATGGACTCACCTTCTACTCTATGTGGGTTTGAAATAGAAATCTGACCAATTAGGCAGAGAAAAGAAAATTAATAAAGGAAACTCAAAGGCAATCAGTGTCACCTCAAACAGGAAAAAACTATGAATTCTTAAAGAAGAGGAAGGAAGCCCACCTGTACAGGTGGGACTGGGGAAGCTAGCAAAAGGGGTGTATCCAAGAAGGCAGGTCCTAAATGACTGTGCTGCTGGGTACGGAAGACGGGGCACACCTCATCACCAGCTCCGTCAAAGGGGACGCATCCTGACATGGAGACCAGGATGGAGAGCACATGAAAAGTCAGGAAGGGCTTGTGTCACTAGTCCTGAGTCAACTCTAAGGACGGAGGAACTTTAAACACGGTTTTACAGATAACATTTAAGAAGTACCAACCTGTCATCCAAACCCGAGACCTAACTTTCACTATCTGCCATATACCTGATTATTTCTCACCTGGAAAGTTCTGACTTAGGATTTCTTCACCTAATATCCACGGCTCTTCTTGCTCCAGTTTGAAAATCGCCTCAGGTTTGATCATTTGATAACCTGTCAATTGGAAACACAGAGAGTCCCAACTGCTTGGGCTGAGGGACTCTTAAATATAAAGAAGATTTCACTACAGAGGCTAAAAAACAAAACAAGCAAATAAAAGCCTTTCAACTGGGTGTAGCAATCAAAAAATCCTTTGACATCTGAAACTTAAACCCGAAATCCGTAATATCTTAGGGGTCCCACAGTTGCTGAGTGCGCCCTGTGTCACACAAGAATGTTCTTACCCAAGAAAACTAGATTGCTATAGTTCTCCAACATCACATCCCTGTACAAGGTCTTCTGAGTAGGATTAAGCAGCTGCCACTCCTCCAACGTGAAGTCCACAGCCACATCCTCAAATGATATCTAAAAAAGCATAATGCCTGTTAAATCGGAAGTCATTCTCTTTGTTGAATACAGGCTTTCTTCTCTACAGTGACAGGTGGCCTCCGAGTTGGCCCCATGATCTCCAAATCCTGGGGTTCATGCTTTCGTTTAATCCCCACCATCCTGACTATGGGCTGGACTTACTGACTCACTTCCACTGAATGGAACAGGGTAGAAGTGCTGGATCAGGTGTAAGAGCATGTGACTTCCACATTGCAAACCCTCTCCTGCTCTCCCTGGGCCACATGGCGAGGCAGCCCTGTGCACAAGCCCACGTGGCAAAGACCCGAGGCCTGCCAACACCCACGTGAGTGAGCTTGGAGGGGGTCACCTCCCTACCACCCCGTGAGATGACCACAGCCCTTCTCAACATCCTGATGACAGGGTCGCATGAGACCCTCCACCAGAACCAAATGGGTGAGCAGCTGTCAGACCCCTAACTCACAGAAACTGAGATACATGTTTGTGTTTTCAGCCACTGAGATTTGGGATAATTTGTTACATAGCAATGGGTAAGTAATATAATGTCCTAGTCGTGCATTATACTTTGAGAGGAAAACAAAAATGTTATTAAAATATTCATCATTATGAATTCATTCACCTATCCACCCATCTATCTATAGAATAAGAAGTTGGAATAGTCTGTCTTTAAATAAGCAGTGTTTCTCAAAGAAGGTGCCACTGGTATCTGGGCAAAGGACAAGACACCACAGAGACCGATACTGTCCCAGGCTGGGCCCATGTACGTGTGCTGCCGTGTCGTCAGAAGGTGCCAAAACAGCGCAGAAAGCTGTCCTGCCTTCCAGACACTGGACGAGACCCAAAACACTGCCCAGGGACAGGCTCCCTTGCCAGCGGGCCACAATGCTCTCAACACATGGACCTCACTGGTCCTCTGGTCCCAACCAGAGGGTTTCACTGGACCCTGACACTTTCCTGGGGTCTGGTCTGGCCATCCTCATGGGCTCCCCAGGCACGGGTCACACACTCCAGGCCTTACCTGACCACATTTACTTCCTGTTCGAATTCACTGCATCTGATAATAGCCCCGTATTTGCAGAGGGGCTGAGTGAGCGTTTTAATGGACAATTTGAGGACAGGCTTAAGGGGCTGACAAGAAGGCTCATGGCGACCCCAGCCTGGAGCACAGAGCTCAGAAGGGAGCGGCCCTTTGCACGGTGCCGGGGCTCGGCCAGGCTGCCCCCAGTCACAGCCCTCCTCTCACAGTCACTGACCCGTCATGTTCTGCGGAAGACCCCACGAAAGCCTCCACCCCTACGACCCCGTCCTGAAGACTCAGTGACTGCCAGATCCTGTACATCCACTTTCAAATCTTTTAAAAACTCAGGAGTTTCTGCTAAGCAATTCTTACATGCGCTCTATCTCTCTGGTTAAATTATGTAAAAATATCTGTTCCTCTGTATAGGGACAACGTGTCTTTCCAGACAAAGGGTCTGGACAAAAACGGAGATGATTTCTTTTAAAGTTTTGATTACTAAATGGAACACACTGATGATGACCAGAGAGAAAGGAAAATAAAGCCCAGCACCAGGGGAGGCACAGGGGAGGGAGAAAGACATTAACGACCTTTGTGTTTTAGACCTACTCCTGAAAACTTTCCTTCCGCCTGGAAAAAACACAAGAAACAAAAGAAAATGACTCGCTGTGCTTCTCTCCGTGCCCATGACCGCTCTGGGTGTAGACTGAAGCCTGCCTGCTCGACGGGGCTGCCGGCCAGCAGCACAGGGCGCCTCAGCCCCCGTGCTTCCCACACAACAGCCCGATGCCGTCTGCACCCCATGAGGTGGCAGGGCCTGGACAAACCAAATGGCCTGGAACTCAGTGCCCCAGGCAGCCCCTCGGAAACCAAGGACTGAAGTAAATTAATCAGACCGGGCAACGGAAAGCCACGCTGGGGCCGTTAGCCTAACTGCCTGATGAAAGCACGTGCTGCCTGGAGGCTCTGGGACTGTGCTTCTGGTGCGCACGCCCAGCCGTGTGACCCCGGTGCCTCAGCCCTGGCAGGCGTTCAGGCCAGCCTCCGCCTGCTGCCAGAGCTGTGCTATGCGAACCACTGCCTTGTGCCAGGTCACAGAGGTTCACACGGCCACTTGAGAAGCCTCCTGATGGGCTGACACATGCCTTCCTGATTGGGAAACGGCTGAGACCACATGCAGGCTGAGAGGCTGCCCCGGATGAACCCCCTGGTTCCTGTCTCGGCCCCTCTAGGTCTGACCTGTTCAGGTCCATGATGGGGTTGCCTGTTTCTCACTCAGGTCCTGAAAAATCAAGTGGATGGGCTGAGGAGTCTGGCTCCTGGTTAAAAACCTACATGTGAACCTTCAGGTCCAAACACAGGCAGGCCCAAAGGGTTACCCCGCAGGGCTCCTGGGGGACACTGTCCCCACTCCTGCCCCCAGACCTGGGGTGCAGCCTGCGTGCCATGGCCTCCAAGGGGCCGGTGAGGATCTCGTGTGCCTGCATCTCTGCCTGAGGCCTTTGGCAGAAGCCTTTCTCAGATGCCTCTCTAAGACCCCCTTGTGAGAGGGGGGACCTGAAGACACTGTCCGCACTCCGACCCAGTACCCTGTACTTTCCACTCCCTCGTCCTCTTCCCCTCCTCCTGGCCCCCAAGTCCACAAATCTGCCGGAGCCTTTTGTTCGGGGCTCCCTGGGCAGCGAACACCTGTGTTGACACACCTGACACGTGGCCAGGGCACTGTTCACTCCTCAGGAAAAGGTAATGGGGAGTCGGCGCCTTCTGCAGCATCCGGCTCTCACTCGTGCCAGCACTCTCGGCTACTGCCACCCTGGCTGCGCCGTCACCAGCTACTCTGACACCTGGCAGCTCAGCCCTCTCAGCTCTGCTGAGCTCCTGGCACAGAACACAGCAGCGAAGGGGAAAAGCTACAGTGCTGTGCGCTGCTGTAAACAACGGGATTTTTAAAAGAAAGAAAGGAACAGAGGAAGGAAAAGAGGGAGGAGGTCAGCTAGGTGGATGGGAATTGTTTTGAAAGGTGAAGGGAGGGATTACCCTGGTGGCGCAGTGGCTAAGAATCTACCTGCCAATGCAGGGGACACGGGTTTGAGCCCTGGTCTGGGAAGATCCCACATGCTGCAGAGCAGCTAAGCCCTTGCACCACAACTACTGAGCCTGTGCTCTAGAGCCCGTGAGCCGCAACTACTGAGCCCATGTGCCACAACTACTGAAGCCCGCGTGCCTAGAGCCCATGCTCTGCAACAAGAGAAGCCACCGCAATGAGAAGCCCGTGCACCGCAACGAAGAGTAGACCCCGCTCACTGCAACTAGAGAAAGCCCGCACGCAGCAACGAAGACCCAATGCAGCCAAAAAATTAATTAAAAAAAAAGAAGAAGAAGAAAAGTGAAGGGACACCGCAGTCGTTTCTTGAGTCAATAAAGTCGGGGTGGTGGGGGGAGGGATGAATTAGGAGGTTGGGACTAGCAGATGCAAACTATTATATCTCGAATAGATAAACAACAAGGCCCTACTGTAGAGCACAGGGAACTATATCTAATCTCCTGGGATAAACCGTAATGGAAAAGAATATGAAAAACAGTGTATATATATTTATATATATAACTGAACCACTTTGCTGTACAGCAGAAACTAACACAACATTGTAAACCAACTATACCTCAAAAAAAAGGTCAGGAAAAGGAACTGGGCAGACACCCTCCTGTGCAGCAGAAGCAAAAACAGTTCTACCTAAAATGTATCGAAATTCCAACTGAGGGAATATATATGGGGCCATTTGAAGGTTTTGTAACAATCAGTTGTGCCGGATGATTCAGGTTTCTTCCCTAAACCCAGAGCTCAGGTGGGACATGGACCCAGGCCTGCTGCCCATTGCTGTGCTCTTTACACCCGCGCCCACCGAGGACCTGCGAGGAGCAGCCTCAGAAATGTGTTCATCCGTTACAGGATGTCATCTGCCACGTCATCTACATCAACAGCTAGTAAAACGCTTTCTTTACAGGAAACCATCAGGAGATGTTTGCTCCCACCGAGCAAATGGTCTGCTTTTTGATGGAGGAAACCACGCAACTCTTCCTGTTTCTCTTTCTGTGGCGGCTTCTAGGAACATGTGAGGAAGCTTGCGGCTCAACTCCAACAGTGCAGGGCCTTAATTCTCTTATATCTGTGCCCCAAATTTAAGACTTTTGTATGATTCTGTGATCCACCTTGTACTTCTTTTGACATCTTCCTTCCCAAGGTTGTATTTTCTCCGGTTACAATTTAAATGTATTTAGCCCTTTCCTGTTAGTTGTAGAGATGCCTGTGAGCCTCATCACACCCACAGATAAAACCGCTAGAGGACAAATAACTCACCTGTGACTTGACCATTCTCCCCCGGTCCTGGGAAATCTGCTCTGCTCTGTCCTGATGCTCTGGAAAAAGGCCTCTGGTCAAAGGTCTGTGGACTGGGAATGCACCCCGAGTCCTGAGGCCTCTTCTTTCTTATTTCACATGAGTTTTCGTGCTCCTGAGGGCCATGGCCTGGAGGTGCAGTGGGAATTTTATTTTAGATGATGTAATTCATTTGGGGACCTCAATCTTGGTTCTCTATAGCTGGGAACTCAGAAAGGCTATGTGCTAGCACTAAGAAACAGGATAGAAAGTGAGCTACTGGCGTGTGTCAGCCGAGCCGACCGCAGCCAGGCCAGGCCTGCACCACACACTGGGCTCTGCAGCCTGGCTCCCACCTGGGAATGCCCGACGGGAGCCACCTGCCTCACTGGTTCAACCAAAGACCCCAGGGGAGCCCCACCACCTCAAAGCACTCTGCAGAGACGGCAACAAAGTCTGGAAATGCAGTCTTGGCTCACTCACCCTGCAGCACCTTTTCCCGGGGGCACTTAGATGAAACCACTGGCACAGGTACTACAGAGTAAAACGCCACTCACTTCTAGGCAGGACAGGGAACGGGCAATGGCCTGGGGTGCTGGCTCTCTACTCCAAAATCAGCCCTGGAGCAAAAGGAAAGCATAGATCAGAGGAACTAAAAGAAATGGCCAAAAGAAGAGGAGAGACCCCGGGGGAGATGGAGGCCGTGGTGAAGCTGACGCTCGGGTGTGGGTTTCTGGCTGAGCCGGCCGCGCTACAGCCCAGAGCAGACGCAGCGAGAAGAAAGGCCTAAGGAAATCTTTTCAGTTCTTTCTTTCTCAGCTCACATTGGCGCAAATACTGCCTTCCCTTCCCTCGGAAATCAGCAGAACAGCCTAGGCCACGGTAGAAGGCAGCTCAAAATCCCTGCTGAGTTTAGGAATCACAGAAACGGCAAGGGCCCAGCTGCCTTCAGGCACTTGTCTCCCACCGCCCCATGGACCCCAAGGAAACTGCTCCACACCTGCTTCTTCCTAAGGGTCTCTGATCCCTGATCGGAGGAACTGCTCAGACAAGTGGTGGGTATGGGGCTATCCAGTGGCTCTAAGGTCCACACTGCTGGCCCTGGAGCCCCTTCCCTTCCCTTTACTTCGAAGGCCTGGCCTCAGCCCTTCCCTAATGCAATTATCAGAGTAGGAAAGCAGATAACACCTCTAGGGGGATACAGTTCAGAGCCTGTGAGGGCAAATACAAATTAAAAAGAAAAAGACTCTCCAGAACCTTATTCAAAGAGTATTTACTCTAGAAAATTACAAAGTCTTTCTCTGCCCTTTTGGGATGTAGGTTAATCTTTCCTAAAACTAAGTTTAACAACTCAAGAATGCCTTTCTTAAGGACCTGGGAGCCGTCTCCGAAATCATCCAGGAAGGTACAGCCCTCTCTCTGGGTCTCTGGGAGGACAGGAGCCTAACCAGCCTGACTTTGGCACCTGGCTCCAAATTGTAAAATTACCCCCCATCATAAAGGTATGACAAGTGTATTTTTCCTTTGGATGAAGGCAAGTAGCCAACACAGTAGCCACCCCCACTACCAGGCAAGGTTAGGATGGACTACAGGTGACAAATGATCACTTATCTTGAGATCGTGTGTATAATGGCTTGTACCTGCCCAGCTACAGAAAAGGGCACGATCTCTTCCTGTCTCTCGCAATGTCTTTAGCAGACTGCCTGAGGTGGGCATCAAATTCTGGTTCAATTTTTATTCAATAATAAAACTATTCTAAGGGACTTCCCTGGTGGTCCAGTGGTTAAGACTCCATGCTTTCACTGCAGGGGGCACGGGTTCGATCCCTGGTCAGGGAACTAAGAACCTGCATGCCACGCGTGCAGCTAAAAAAATTTTTTTTTAATTAAAAAAAAAATTAAGAAACAACCACCACCTATTCTTTCTCTTCTACTTTTGTGGAAAAGTCTTCTGGATTGGCAGAGACTGGTTGAAATTATTTCCCCAACAAGCCAAATAACCAAATAAATGAGTACAACCACTATTTTAAAAACTTTTTAAAAGATCACAAACTGTATTACAGAGATCACCTGAGGCAGAATTATCAGAACAGATGAACCAATAGTTAAGATCAGCACAGTCAAAAAAACATGACGCCTTCATGCACACAAATACTTACACTTTCAATGTCTCCACCGCTGTGGAGTGAACCAGGCACTTACACCAGCCGGATACCGGATCAGGGTCAAGGACTCCACGGGCTCACAGCAGGGTCACACAGGGATGTGACTTCCTTCATGAGGGTACACCTGAAAGGAAATATCCAAAAATACAGTTACCGGTAAGCCTGGGGGCCCGAGGGACAAACTCCACCTCCCACCCGAGATGCCTAGCGCTGCGGTCCACACCTGTGGCAATTTGTTCTCCCGGCTTGGTCCCCACAGGCGGACAGGCTGAGAGGAAGGCCGACATGGTGGATGGCCAGTGGGCACCTTTCCGCGAAGTAAGCTGAGCAAGGAGAGAACGTAATAGCTACAGGAGATCTAGAGCAGGAGCCCCTTGTTCTAACAAAGAATGGGGGGAGAGGAGGGAGGTATCCTCAGGGTCCCAGTGGAACAAAGAGAGATGGGTGGACTCGTCCTCCACAAATGAGGGAAGCAAGTTACGCCCTGGTGTTAGCAGACTGCCAGGTTTTGCTCCCGGGCAGCTAACAAGAGTGGAGAGAACACTGGCCCCTTTGAGGCCCTTCTTGCCCACCCCTAGAGCTGGGCTGAGGGCTGGAATCAGACCACCCGCTCGGGAGCCCCACACCCTCGGTCAGCAAGGGAAAGAGGAAAGGAAACCCAGGAATGCTACTCAACGCCAGGCGGACAATGGATCAGCTCCTGGCACCGTCTCTCGAGGGCCTTAAACATCTCCCTCTTCGTCCTTTAACGAACCGAGGGAGGACACAGGCCAGGGAGGGAGGGCAGGTCCCAGTGCTCCCCAGGTGCTGAAGATCCTTCGGAGAGTCAAGAACCAGCCCATCTGGACAGACAGGCTGGATTCTGAAATTTGACGTGAAACAGTGGCAGAGGGCAGAGCGAGGGCGTCCAGGGCAGGAAGACCTCTACAAGTGGGAATGGAGAAGGATGGCATGCGTTCTGCCCACGCGTGGGGGGCAGCAGACACAAAGGTCAGATTCCCTGAGTGAAACCGGACTCTCCTGAGACCAGAGTGAACAGTATGGTGCACGAGAACAGGTCTCTCACGAAAAACGTCCTGGGAGAGCAGAGAGCGACACCCAAAGGAGAAGCGCCTCTTCCCGAGATGCACAGGGAGCTCCTGGGCACGGGCAGGTCCCGATGGTCTAGGAGGCCCAGTGAAAAGAGAGCCCAGAGTCACTGCTTTCCAAACCTGAGGCCCCTGAGACACAGGCCCACCTGCCCTGGAAGCTTCTATCTTGTCTGGACCCCTTTTGGGTTGATGCACAGGAGACCTGTAGCTTCTCCTCTGGAAAAGGGGACGTGCCAACTGTACTAACACCCCGAACGGTCACCCTGGTTCCTCCCCCAGGACCCCAACATACTCCTGCACTGTGCTCTCACATCCACATCAGATCCCACTCACACACTAATGCAGCCCTAGACACACACTCACAGTCTCATTTACGGGCCAAGAAAGCAGCAATTTGCTGAAGGCCTCTTACTACCAGGCCCTGTTCCGGGCACGTGGGAGAGACCACTAAACAGGACAGACAGTCCCTGCTCTTTAGGATGGGAAACAGACACACAAGTAAGTAAAATAATTTCAGACTGTGAGAGCGCGCAGAAGAAACTTCAGATGCACCAGAGGAGTGGGTGGGTGGAGGGCACTCCTTGCAGATGACTTTGAGCCGAGCTCTGAGGAGGCGGGGCCGGCCCCGGAAGGCTACAGGCCAGCCACGCCCGGCAACGAGCATTGACACAAAGGGCTGGAGCAAGCGGGTGGGGGGGACTCCTAGCTGGTGGGGTCTCTGAGTACTTTTCAACAAGGCAATGTTCAAGTAAAAGGAGCCATCACTGACCAACACAGCCATGCACACGCCGGGTGAGAGGGGCCAAAGAGCAAAGGACAACACGGTTACTGAACGGAAGTCACCACGTTGTCTTGCCTGGGCCAACGAAGGACTCACCCAAACCCCAAAACACCACCCTTAAAGGCCCCGCAATCACCAACACCCAAAGCCCCTCAAATGCGGTTCCAAAGACCGCCTCAATCACACTGGCTGACCCCCCGAGAACCCGCAGCCCCCAGATCACTGGACACACGAGTCTCCAGGACACACAACCATCGACTCCATAAAGCCCATGTGCCCAATGCCCCCCCAGGGGGTCTGGGCCGTCAATTACACACACTGTGAGTCCCCATCGGCTCCTCTAGCAAGGCCCCCCCCATCACCAACCACCAGTGACAAAACCAATCCACAGAAGTGTGTGAATCAAAGAACCCCAAAGTCTCTCCACAGCCAACCCACGATCAGACACCCACAGAACCCCTGACTCCCGGTCACGGCGGGCTCTCCGTCACTCAGCCCTGCGCACCAGCCACAGGCCGCCTTACGGACCACCTGGTTGATTATGACCCCAGAGCCGTCTGACCTCCACAGGCTTCTCAATGCCAAGGCCAAGAAACCCCACCACTGGCTCCTCCAAACCCCACTCGGTAACCTCCACGGTCTATCCACTGACTAGACACTGAGTCAGTGGAACCCCAAATGTTGAGTCCCAAAGGACCCCCAGAGAACTCCAACCCCTCCCTCTCACAGTGCCCACCCACTCACCTTCACAGAGCCCGCCACCACCCGCCCCCTAAACCAGGCCCTCATCACACGGGGCTGCCAGCCACTCACCTCCAGATACCCACTCTCCAGTCCACGCCATGCTCACCCACCACTCAGACGCCCCCAGAGCTCATCACCCTGCGAGGGTCCCCAGCTCCTCACAAACACCCCCGGCCCCTCCAACGGCGCCAATTACCACCCCCACTTCCCCCTCACAGCCCCCAACAGGCCATTCGTCAACCTGTGTGCAGACCCCAGCCACTGACACGCGGCCTCCGACCAGATACCTCAGCCACAAGGTCCCCAAACACGGGCCGCCCCGGTCACTGCCCTCCACCGAAAAAGCTACCATCAAACTGTCAAGTCAAACCAAACACAGACGTAGCAAAGAAATGTTTTACTCCGAGGATTTATTCTTGGGTGGGGGGGAGGGATGCTGGAAGAGGAAGGACGCTGCGGCCCTAAGAGGCACAGCATCTCTGCAGAGTGTGGGGAAGCTGGATCAAAGGGCGGGGGACCAGACAGCAGACGAGAGGACATCTCACCGGAGGTCGGCCAGTTCTGGGCGCAGTGGCGGGCTACAAGCTGCTCAAGCCTACTGCCCAGAGTTCAGGGAACTGCAGGAAGGAGAGAAGCTGAACCAAATTTGGTTTCTAAGCGTTCTGATCAGTGAGAACAAACAGTTCAGCTAATCATTGATGAGGCAAAAGATGAGAGGGGCTGCGTCATATTTACCTACGGCCTTGTCACAGGTAAACAAGGGCATCATGTGGGAAGGGGGTTCTTTGCAGCCAGCTGTTTCCCGGAACCCGAGGAGGGGGGGATCTTCCCAGGAGCACACGGCTCAGGTACAGTCCAACACTGCAGCAACCAGCGGCCCCTCCTGCCGACGAATTCCTCAGTGCAACCACTCCGGGGCCTCTACATGCCCCCCACGCGCCCACAGAGCCCCGTCGTTCATCCCTTCGCGCCCCGTCGCCAAGCCAAAAGCACGCAAATCATGGATGGCTAGAGCCTTAACTATTGCTGCACACACACCCGAACCCACATCCCCAGGGCACACGCCGGCCCCGCACAGCCCTCCACTCACTCCCGAGGGGAGCCTCCGGGCTCCCTCACCCCCAGGGCCTGCTGCCTCCAGCCCCCGAGGCTAAGGTCCCCCCAAAGGCCCCTCCCAGAGGCCCCCACCATCCACTTAATTCCCTCCGCCGGCTTCACAACCACTCACCCCTCCCTGGCCCCGAATTACTGATTTTCACAGACATTCCACTACCTCGCCCGCCAAGTGTCCCCAGCTTCATCAGCCCCACCGTCTCCCCGCACAGCCCCTCCTCTCCCACCACCACGGGAGGCCCTGCCCTGCCCCCCAAATCTCCCTCCTGCTTCCCACATCACTGCCGCCCACACCCGCCCCTCCAGACCCCTGTCCCCCAGGCGTTTCCCCACCGTCGCCCTCCCTCCCGCCTCCCCGCTGCCCGGCCGCCCCGCGGCCCCCGCGGCCCCTCCCCTCTGCCGCCCCACGCCCCTCCCCCACAGCGCCCCCCGACCTGGACCGGAATCGGCGCCTGCGCGGCAGGGCCGTCCTCTCGCGCCTTCCCCGCACCCGGCTCCGGGAGCCGGTTCGTGCGCACGCCGGCTTAGCCCCGAGCCGGTCCGCGCCGGGGTCACCGCGGCCCCGGTCGGACGCTGAGGCCACCGCCAGCCCGCAGCACCCCCGTCCCGTCCCCGCCCCCCACACCCTTACCCCTTTGGCCCACGGCGCCGAGGCGGACACGGCCGGGCCGCGGGAGTGTCCGCGCAGAACTACATTTCCCGGAGCCCCGTTCGCTTTAGAACTACATTTCCCAGAGGGCTCCGCGGCACGCCTCCCTGATGAACAGGGGTGAGGTTTCCTGGTGCCAACCTCTTTGCGGCTGCCTGGGGCTCCCGGTTCAGACGGTGGGATGTAGCCTGCGCTCCCCCCAACCCCTCAATGTGCTCCAGTTTTGATCATAGAGAAAAGTAATTTATAAAATCAAAGTAGTAGTATAGGTACGTTTTATCCAGTCCAACAGTACTAACAAAAAGAATGAAAATAAATGAAATGAGGGATTTGGGGAGAAATAAAATGTAATTACGGGAAGAGAAGTAAATTAAAGAATATAAAAGCAGAATATAAAAGGAATTAAAATAGAAAAAACTAAACTTGATAAATCCAATTTTTAAAATAAAATATAAAATCATACTAGAGATTTTTATCAAAAAGTGAGAAGAAACAGCAAAAACAATTGGTAATGAAAAAAGAAAATTAGCCAAAAAGAACAAATTAAAATATTTGTGAAGGAATATTTTGCTCAATTATATGTAATCTAGGAACTATGTTAATAAATTTAGAACTTAATGAAGTACGTGATTTAAAGGAATAGTTAGGTAATTAACTTAAGAAAATAATATCTTTTTAGACCTAGAGTGATGGTTAAAAATGTTTTAGTGGGCTTCCCTGGTGGCGCAGTGGTTAAGAATCCACCTGCCAATGCAGGGGACACAGGTTCGAGCCCTGGTCCAGGAGAATCCCACATGCTACACAGCAACTAAGCCCGTGCGCCACAACTACTGAATCTGCGCTGTAGAGCCTGCGAACCACAACTACTGAAGCCCGCGGGCCTAGAGCCTATGCTCTGCAACAAGAGAAGCCACCACGATAAGAAGCCCGCGCACTGCAATGAAGAGTAGCCCCTGCTCGCCGCAACTAGAGAAAGCCCGTGCGCAGCAACGAAGACCCAATGCAGCCAAAAATAAAATAAAATAAAATTTAAAAAACAGTTCTTAGCTACAGACTCATATGTTTTCCTTGGTGAATCTTCCACATTATCAAGGAGTATAATCTTACCAAACAATTTCTAGAAAAATCTAGACCGAACCCTTTTCTTAACACAAAGATAGCAAAATAGTTATACCATAACCAAAAGTAAATTTAAAAAAACAAACAAAGTGTAAAGCAGTTTCAGTTATATTCATGTGAAAAATTTAAAAAAATAGTAAATGGAATCAAGCAATACATTTAAAAACATATCATAAACAAGTAGAAGTCATTGCAGGACTTTTCACCATATCAGTAGATTAAAGGGGATCATGCATCATCATCTAATTAAATACTGAAAAATCTTTAATAAATTCAAATTCAAATTCAAATTTAAAAAATCTTTAAATAAATTCAACCTAGAATGTCCATTAAAAAAAAAAAGCACACAGGGCTTCCCTGGTAGCGCAGTGGTTGAGAGTCCGCCTGCCGATACAGGGGACACGAGTTCATGCCCCGGTCTGGGAAGATCCCACATGTCAGGGAGAATGTCCTAGAATGTCCATTAAAAAAAAAAAAGCACACAGAAGTGTTAAGATACTACTACCACAACATGTGAAATGTCTCATAAATGGATAACGTTATAAGAAGTATTATCATTAGAAATCATAAAACTATCACCAATATTGTTTTCTTAAATTGAGAATATTTTAAAAATACACGAAAGTATAGAGAATGAGATCATAAACAGTCAAATGATCAGATATTCATATTTGGTAATATGAATATTACCAAATATTTGGTAATATTTGATTCAGATCCTTCTTTAATCAAAAAACAAAAATTATAACACTGTATATTCAGTTGCTGTTCTCTGAGCCTTTAGTCTCTTTCTTCCTATTACCATTCCTCTTGGGGCAATCATTGCAATGAATGTGCTGTATAGCCTGCCATTCCATGTATACTTTTACTACACGCAGACTGTGTTTATCATATGTCATACATTTTATGTCTTAACTTTACATGAACGGTATTGTTAACAAACTCAACATTAAATCTCCAGGTTGTTGATCCTGGTCTCAAGTAAAGACTGCTCATTCTTTTTTTGTTTTGTTTTTGTTTTTTAATATTTATTCGTTTATTTGGCTGTGTCGGGTTCTTAGTTGTGGCATGCGGGATCTAGTTCCCTGACCAGGGGTGGAACCTGGGCCTCCTGCATTGGGAGCGTGGAGTCTTAACCACTGGACCACCAGGGAAGTCCCAAGACTTGTCATTCTTAAATAACTGGGAAACAGTACCAGCTGGAGGCCTCACACTGAAGGGTGTTAGGAAATTTTCAGAAGCAGATGACTGCATGAAGTGGACAACTTCTGCTCAAGATCAACAGAACAAGATGACCTGAGCACTTAGGTATGTACTTCATCCTCTTTGTCAGTGAAAGTTTAGAGTGTTTACTGCTGCTAGTTACATCTTTTTTTTTTTTAAGTATTTTTATTTTTATTAAGGTTTTTTTTTTTTTTTTTTTTTTTTGCGGTTCGCAGGCCTCTCACCGCTGTGGCCTCTCCAGCTGCAGAGCACAGGTCCCGGACGCGCAGGCTCCGGATGCGCAGGTTCAACGGCCATGGCTCACGGGCCCAGCTGCTCCGCTGCATGTGGGATCCTCCCGGACCGGGGCACGAACCTGCGTCCCCTGCATCAGCAGGCGGACTCCCAACCACTGCGCCACCAGGGAAGCCCCTCTAGTTACATCTTAACTATGATACCCTGTAGAGTCTCGATCTTGACGACCTTGACATTGTTCTTTGCGCCTCCATCACTCTTTGTAATGAGCCCAACACCTGGTTACAATTTGTTGATGATATGGTGAAAATTATTAATTTTGTATTCATTTTTCACCTAGCTTCCTTTGGTGCTAATTTATTGTGATAAATCAGTTGATTTCCTAAGTAAGTTGGATCAACTACGTAGTGCCTTTTTAAGTGTCAAAGAAGGTTTGGTTTTGTGTTTTAAGTAAGCAATTTAGTTAACACTCCTACAACTGGTTCCTTTTTTTTTTAATGTGCTAATCTTTTTTTTTTTTTTTGAAGATGTTGGGGGTATGAATTTATTAATTTACTTATTTATTATGGCTGTGTTGGGTCTTCATTTCTGTGCGAGGGCTTTC